TAAACTAATTTATTTTACATAAAATAATTATAAAACAATCAAATAGGGGACCCAACTTTAATACGTGGTTTTTTTCATTAATCATGTTAACTTTCATAAAGATTCGGAGTCACTCCTTCCGAGTCCAATTAATTTACTCGTATATTATCATAATAAGAGGATTTGGGCGACTCTTACCTATCTACAAATAACCAAGCAAGCCCACACGGTTATTTTCCATAACCTAGTGGTCGATAAGTGTTCAACTTACGACTTGTTTGGATAGGGTGGAAGGCTAAGGAGAGGAAAGAAAAGTTCCGCTCGATTATTTTGAAAAGAAAACCCATGGAATGAAAAAATAATAATAAACAAAGTTACATATGGTGGGACCCATTTTCCTCCCAAAATTGGGAGGAAAGTGGGAGAAAAATCATGGAAAAACATCCAAGAATATGTATATTGTTATTTTTGCCCTCATCTCGCCTCATCCGTTTGGTTTGCCCTCTCCATTTCTCTACTCGTCCTTCTCTTTCTGCAAGTAACAAATCATGACAAAACTCACCAAAACAGATCGCACATCGATTGTTGACTTTATATAGGTAATTTATCAATAAAAAACACACATTCCCTCCTAGGAAACACTCAACGAAACATACAAATTCTCTCATTGAAATCTATAATATCCGTTTCTCGATTTATAGGAACGAACCCTAAAAAATGAGTTATTTGAACCGAGTATGGATGGCCCCTTCCGTGGTCGTAGTTGGCCACCCCAATCAAGGGTGGAAATTTGACATAAAATCACCGCAACATTGCAAGATGAGGGTGTTCTCGAGCAGAGATGTTGCAGAGATCCGACCACTCGATGGTTTAGTTGGATCGGATTGTGTTGGAGTTCTTGGGAGTTATGGATCAAAAGAGGAAACGAGACGGAAAGACGAGTCTCTCGGATGAGTTATGTACTTAAATTGTTGAGGCCGGGGGTGAGGAGGTAACAATGAGCCAAGGAAGCTCGGTTTTCAAAGAATATCGAGTACCATCGGAGAGAGAATTGACTCGACTTGGCGGTGACTTAGGATTCTTAGGGGAGATCGACCGAGTTGGGGTGGTGGTGGTGAGTTGTATAGTCTTTAGAGGAGGTTAACTTGAGTTTGGTCGGTAAATTGTAAAATTTACTTTGAAATAGTACATAAAAACAAGTATAAAAGAAAATGTAAACAACACGGTTCTACTCTATTGTAGATTATGTTTAATTTTTTATTGAACGAATGAATTAACTTCGAAATTCCATTGGAATATATATTTGTTGAACCGGTCCGGATAATTAAGTTAATCACATGCCAAATTATTATCCAAATCACACACTTTGATTTTATCAAAGTTACAACTTAGTTTCGAAGCAAAATACTGAGTGCTTGTATAAGGGATAGGCTGATTGACTCGACGGTGAGTTGTGAAGTGGTGCTTGGGGGTTAACCGAGTTGGGGTGGATGAGTTGAGTATAAATTGTGAGATTTACTTGGTCTTTTTTTTTTTTTAACTATCTCTAACGTCTAAGGAAAAAACAAATAGCAAATATTATGTTTAATGTTTTATATCGTGTCTAAAAACTAAAATTTTCATCTTTGTTTATTTATTTAGAGTTAAAATTATTTGAAAAACCTTGAGTTGAAGCAAAAATTAAGATTTTTTTTCTTAAATGCAAAAGCTGAATGATTGATAATTATTTATTTAACTAGTGTTTTATGTAAAATAAAAATAAAAATAAAGAGAGGTATTTTGATTTTTCGGATAATATAAGATTGATTGTAATTCAAAAACTTTCTAAATACATAAAATATCAATTATTTTGTGATTGTTAATTTTTCGAGTTTTAATGAACTAACAAACTAATATGACATAAGAGTTTTGCTAAATAGTAATTTCTTAATCCAAAATAAAAAAGCTGAGAAAATGATGGATAAAAGCAACTAACTTATTATATGCATAGATAATAATAAATGTCATACATATTTCAATTAATTTTATGTTGACATTTAATCTAAATTGGCTATTGAATTAACTAATTAGTAAACACTTATTGATTATTTTATGAAGATGATTCATTATCCTTATTGTCATTTCGGATAGATGCTACATGCTAGATTTTATTTTATTATCATTTGTGCAATTTTAATGAAAAGAATATTCATACAAATTTATTATAAGTGTTTAAATATAGAAATATAATCATATGGGTATTATAGTAAATATATAATAATATATTTTCTTTCCTCCCTCTTTCTATAATCATCCAAACAAAAAAAATATACTTTATTTCTTTTTATTTCTACTCTTATCCAAACAATAACCATGTGTTTGGATAGGGAGGAAAGTGAAGGAGAGGAAAGAAAATAGGAAGGAAAGAAAATTTTTCTTCGTTTGTTTTGAGGGAGGAAAGCGAGTGGAAAGAAAAAAATAATAAACAATCTATAAATGGTACGACTCGTTTTCCTCTCAAAATTGGGAGGAAATGAGGATAAGCGTGAGACATATCTTTTTTCTTTCACATTTTTACCCTTGCCTCGACCACCCTCCTCATTTAATTGGTAAAATGATAACAAAAACTTATGACTCGCGTGGATACTTGTCGGCACGTTTCAATACGAAAAGATCGTGTAGGATATGACAAATATATATATATATATATATATATAATTTTAATTTTAGATTATATGCGAGAGATAATAATATAGCAATATACGTGATAGATACAATTATCATACATAGGGGTACGACCAAAAATATATTTTGCGATTAAATTTGTAATTAGAAAATAGGTCTAAATATAATTTTAAGTCTTATGAGTTATGAACCTCAAACATTTAACTATACAAAGCTTTAATTAATTTTTTATAATTTATAATTTTTATAAAATATCTATTAATCAATATTATGAATGATAAGTGATATATATATATAATTTTTCATCGGAAGAAACATGATGTCGTTATTTCTAAATTAAACACTTGTTTAGTTTTTCACAAATACCAACATAAAAGGATGATGAGTAACACTTACTAAATCTAAGAAAGATATAAAATCGTGATTGATCCTTTCGTAGTCATTTTCGGGATGGATTAAATTTTTAGATATTCAAAACAAGTATAAATAACATGATCTCTATTTTGTTTTAATACAATTCCTCGAGGTCATTTCGGATAGATGCTACATGTTAGATTTTTTTATTATGATTTGTGCAATTTTAATGAAAAAAATATGCATAGAGATTTATTTATACAAATTTATTATAAGTATTTAAATATAGAAATAATATCAATAGAGGTATAATAGTAAATATGCAATAATATATTTTCTTTCATCTCTTTTTTTATAATTATTCAAATAAAAAAAAAAAAATATATATATATATATATATATTTTAATTCTTATTCAAATAATAAGTGAAAAATATATATTTTTCCCTCTCTTTTCTTTCCTTGAAAACTAAATATCCAAACACAATGTTACTGACCAAAAATGAAAAACAAAAGAAGTCATCAGCACATCTATCAAGGACCCAGCTTGTCGCTGTCTGTTTGATCTGGCAAGCAGTAGATCATCAGATTAAAAATGATATGATTTTGTACGGGAAAGTAAAGAGATCAAAGATTCTCTCGAGGACTTTACAATTTTTGGTTATCTGACTAAGAAATTAAACAACCACTCACAACCAAAAAGCGCTTCTTTGTCGTCATGTGGACGTATCTTGTAGGCAAACCAACAACTTTCATAACAGCACCTGCCTTCAGCTGTAGTTTATTGTTTTCTTTTTGCTTGGCTTTATAGTAAGTTGCCACGTCTTGAATTAGATTTCCAAAACAGCGAATGGCATTTTATTATAGAGAATAGAATTGCATCATGCATGACGATATTCTTTATGATTATGCATTGCAACTACTATCTATTCCTTGCTTGAGTTAACGCTGTGGACCCGCATGACTTGCAAATTCACTTCTCCTTAATTCCCGGTCCCTTGGTCACTACTAATCACTCACCGCAACAAAAATTTTTAGGTGGATAAAATTGACTTTATATTGAACTTACTTTGGCTGTGTATATTACCGGTGACTTTAATTAGCCGGCTTTATGGTACTGTACTATATACATTATTCGTTAATTTCAAGCTAGGTGTGATATTGTAGGCATCTTGGGATATTCTCTAACATATCTTCACATGATAAGCTGATGCAGTGTTTCCTCACATGTCACCCGCCATATATGCGTATGTGATAAGCTCAATAAATGAACAAATATGTTTCTTCCAAAATTGGTCTCTCCCTTTGGAGTGTAGCTCTGCTGGGTTTAATTTCCCTAAAATTGGACATTATGTATAATCTAGCCACTAGTGCATTAATTATGATCTCCGATTCCCTTATGGCCATTGCAAGTCCTACTTCTTTAAGACATTCTTTTGTTAATTCACCACGTGCGACTATAGGTTAATTAAATAATGCTTATCGGCAAATCCTTAAGCTAAAAAGGAAAAAAAAAAAAAAAAACTTTTAAACATAGTAGTTAGATAGCACTTTCTTATGAACACTTTGTTTTACTTTTTGATTGAATTCAGTGTAAAAAGTAAATGCTTAAATAATAGCAATTTTTTTGTTTTTTTAGGATACATTCGTGTATTGAATCTTTTAAAGTGTTAGAAAGTAATATAGAATTATTGATAAGATCTCACCTAATAAATTAAATTATTGAGTTAAGATAGTTTTTTAATATGATATCAAAATTTTATTTCTGTATAAGTTTTAAGTCTAAAAAATAAAAAAATTTAATTGAAAGAATATTTTAAAAAATAATAATATAAAACTCAAAATACTTTTATTTAAAAAATACATGTTGGAAAGTAATATAATAAAATATTTTTATTTGAATAATTATGTTAGAGAATAATATAAATGAATTGAGATGGTTTTTGATATAAAGTAATAACAAGTGGTAATTAGTAAAAACTATGAAGATATGATTAAGGAAAAATGAAAAAGGAGAAAGAAGGAAAGAGAGTACTCCAGGCACAGGGTCAACGCAAGTGGAGTGGGTTGTGTTAGCCTTCAACAAGGAAGGATCCAACAAGTTTCCAAAATTCTTCCTTACACACTACATATAAAAAGGCAGTGGCGCTGCAATACCTTAAAAAAAAAAGAAAAAGAAAAAAACACTACAAATGGAAATTGCAGCAATAAGAAGAGAGGCAATGAAGGTGATAGAGGTTAGCACAATAAGGAAAGAGGCGAGGGCCAAGGAAGAACCTCAGTTCAACAAGAAGAATGGAAGTGTATTTTCCAAGAAGAAAACGTTGGTGAAGAGAATGATGTTTGAGTTCTTGATCTCATCCCTTGCTTCTCTTTGCTGCAAAAAGGTGAGTTCACCAAGAGGTGCAGAATTAACGACAAAATCATCATCAAACACCGAAAAGCATAGCTAGCTGTTCCTAACCTACTTGTTTGTGTTTTAATACCCACCCTATTTTTCCCATGCAAAAACATTGTATAATGTAATAAGCTCCCTAATTTTATGCCTGTTAATGCCCTTTCTTCCTTCCTTTGTGTAAACCGGTTATCCCTAAGTACTAGATTCCATGGTTTTCTTCTTTTTTGATAAGCTAGATTCCAAAAGCGTTGAACTTTTGATATTTGCTTATCTCACACTATGCTTCTCTTCTATAATCTGTACGTTAATTTATGGTGATTATCGTGCCTTCATGAGTTTAAGATTCTAATTATACATTTTGTTTAGAACTTGAAAACCCTAGCTAGAAACTAAAGGTCCAAGCAAGCATTAGCACTCCAGGTTTAAATGGCTTCAAGAGCCAGGCCAAATTCTCAAAAGCAATTTTATACGGTGTAAGAACGGATTTAATTTCTTCCAAATACAATGATAGATATACTAAAAATCACTAATTGACTGTTTATTTCATGTATTTGTAATGATGCTAATAGATTAGAACAGTCTTTTTACTTTTGGTTACATGGAGTACTAATTCATTTGAAAGAAAAATGATGTTTAGTTTTGTTTGCACTGAAATTACTTCGGGAAGTCATCGGAGAGTTTTTGCATTAGAGGACACCTTTTTTTTGTGACGTTTGAAAAAATGGAGCAGATTGAAGTTTCTGACAAGAGACATTTTGTGGAATAATTTCTGCCACAAAAGACAGGATAAAATGTTTTCCCCGATGCGTCCTTTCTTTTACATAAGTTTCTCTTGAAAATAGGTACCATATTATGTGATCAGGAGGGAGTCCATTTTACGTTATTCTGAGGAATTAATAACAAGTCAAGAAATTAACAAGTACCTCTTTCTCTAGAAGGTTTTTGTGTCAAATTAAAGTAAAGCCTAGACATGCAGTGCCCCTCTATACCGTCCGCTCGCTTCCAAATGATAATGATCGTGAGAAAGAAATATTTTGTTTATCGAGCACATGGTAATTAGGGACTCCTGGCGAGTTATTTTAATATATTTTTCATAAGCCAAGGAATAGAATTAAATTAAAAGGCCCCATGAGGGCAACTTACAAGCCAACACGAAGAATACAAGAAAATCAGGGGAGTATACCAGACATGAAAGACCCAAAAAAAAAAAAAATGATCCAGAAAAACAAACCAAGAGAAAAGGAGAAGCCCGTGAACCTGGAAAGACCATAATGGAAGACGTGGAGGTATCCAATAGGATAATGGTAAAGTAGTAAGAAATTCGGGCGCGGTTAGCCAGGTACTCGGGAGTACCGTTAATTTTACTTGAAATAGGTGTAAGAATTTCCTTATGAAATTAAAAGAGCATAGAACCATATATGAAACACAGTAATATGAAATTATGCGAAAATTTACTAGACTTGGCAGAGCGGTGATATATAAAACCTAATAATCAGATATGGGCGCTGGTAATTTTTATTTTTTTTTTGGATGCACTTTAAACTGAGAATATCTTGAAATAAAACCCCGAGGGTTGAAGAATAGATCACCTATTACCAATTATCTGTCTGACTTGGGAAGCTAGCTTTGATGGAAACCTGAATTATTTTATACATCTATAGACTATCTAGACTTTAAACTACCATCACGACCTATTCCAACTTATAACCCGTGAATTGGTTGCAACTTGCAAGAAATATATATATATTTTCTCCATCTTGGTCCAGGTCGAATAACACATTTTTACTTTCTGCTCTTGTGTGGTATACCATTGAAGCGATAGGTAACCGATTCCCTTATGTTGCCTATTCGTATTAGGAATTTGAAATTTTTTTACTAGATATCACGTGCCTTGTTTCGCTCCTATTCCCTGAGTCTACGTCCTCAAACGTGGGTGATATATCGTAGTAATACTGATGGTGGTCTCTCTCTCTCTATATATATACACACATAAATTTATGGAATTGTTTCAATTTTAATTTTATCTATTTGAATTGTTGATTTTTTTTGTTTTTAACTTTTTTCTATTTGAGTGCATGTTGTTGATTAAGTGATCTGTTAGATGACAGCGGATTTATTGATGGAAACATTATTGGCATAAAAACCTCCATGCTTGTAACTCTTGTCAACAAAGAAGAGCCAAGGTGCATGGGGGCGTAACTACATAAGCAAAGGCGCTTGATTAACCTTACCTTAAGAGGAATAATTCCGTTAAAAAGCTACAAATTGCCAAGGCACGCCTTATTCTACCTAGTCCTAGTAAGGTCAACTAGATAGTATCAAGCCATGTGATAGATTATTTAGGTTGTTTTATTTTCCTCAACTGGGATTTTAATTTGATGTTAAAGTGTCTCGTGATTTCATCAAACAACGGTATTGCAATAGGCCTAATTACCCGATTAGCATTGGGGTAATGATGAAAAAATTCATCAGATTACTCTTTTGTTTATTGATGTAGTGTGAATAACTTAGAAATTTATGCATTTCTTTTGCAATGCATATATGGTCTATTCAGTCATAGAAGATTCATCTATCTATATATAGATACAATTATCCGAAGCTACGAAATTCTATTATTATAAGAATCTGGATGTTAAAATGATAAATTTTTGATGTCCACTTTTATTATTTCTCGATACATGAATTTATCACGCTTACATCTAATTTCATCATAATCTTGTCTGAGATCAATATAAATATTAATTTGATCAATTAATGTCCCATAATATGACAATGCATGTGTAAAGCACAGATGCATCAACTATGAAAGATCAATCATAAATAACCGAACGGATTAAAGTTTAGCAATCAACCCATTGATCTGGTTAAGATTTATTATGCTGTCCGGGATTTTATCTTTCAAGTGAGAATAAGTAAATAATAGCATCCAACAGTTCCAAAATAATGGGACTCATGGAAAATGTGGGATATATATATATATATATATATATATATATATATATATATATATATATATATATTATGAGTAGTTGTCTTCAGTTTGGTACTTTACTAATCTAACAGACACGTGGCATCACCAGTCCAATTGTGTGTGAAACTTATTGGGCTGGTATCCTATCCTGGCCCCACCAAAAGAAAGAAAAATGGAAAAAAGTAAGGAAATTCTTTTTCTGGAAGACAGTGAGAGAGAAATGCACGGAGTAGGTAAAGCTAACATGTAAATTTTACTTGTAGTGAAATAAAGATCGCTTAATTTCATTCCTTAAAGAAAAAAATGGTTGAGTCTTATTGTTTTGTAAAACGGATAAAAAACAAAAAGAAGATCGAAAAAATACAAAACCAAAAACATATAATGATGATGGAGTTTGGTGACACAAATTAAAAACCATCGTTCCATAACAATTGTAGATGGTAATTATTATGAAAGAATGAAACCATAAATTGACTAATAGGAATATTTTGAATATTCTTATTCGCAATATTACCGACACGTTTCTTAACCCTTTTGGATGATGAGTCATCACACATCAATTATGTCAGTCGCTGGGGAAAACCATCGAGTAAAATTTCAGTTTGCATTAAATTAAGGTTTTAACGTGAGAGAACAAGTGTGATTGGATCTGGGCCATGCCCATGCTTAACTGCACGAACTGTCGGTCAATTATTGTCGTCTATGTGGGTTGCCTGGAATCTGGATGGCGCTATTGGCACACCATATATATGTGTCTATTGACACAACATTTTCTGTTCAAAAAGACAAACCTAACCTTCAACGTTTGTAGCTCATTAAAAAATAATGGGAGGACAGTGCCTCGTCCTCTCTCGGAAGTTGAAACCACCCTACGCAGGTGTCTTCTCCAATTCCTTTTCCGCCTCTCTTGAAGTTTTTGTCACTAGAAGTCCTGGTGATGGACTCAGCTACTCCAACACTTGTGTCTGGATATAAATTTCTCTTTTAGCATTGGTGCTTTACCTTTTTGCATTAGAATCTTCTACTCTATGTGTTATTATATGATTTTGAATTATCAGAATCTCCATTTCTACTTAATTGCTTTTTTTCATGGGGTTGGATTTAAGGAATCTTGCAATTTTCACTTTGAAATTCGACGTTGGTTCTTTTGAAGTCAGATAGAGATGTAGCTGTTGTTTTATTTTTGCCGGGATTGTCTCCTGGCTGAAGCTTTTCTTGTGATTTTTCTGGGTATTTATAAATGGGTTTTGTTCTCGATGGAGGAATCTGATTGCTTGGACTGCTCTATCAAGGTTTTATTTTCTTTTAAAAACGTTTTCCATTGACCATGATATGTCGATAGAGTGTATAGTTGAACCTCACCTGTATTTTTTTCTTGCTAGACGCATGGCCTGATGCCCATCGACAGTCCAGGTATTCTCTCACCCTTTACGGAAGCCGGAGGGGATGACATTATTGCGAAGGACAATCTTGTCATTTCATATAGAATAAGCCCTGCTGATAGCGTCAACCGGAGTTTATTTGTCTCTATTTCCCCTCCAATATTTATATTTATTTCTTTTCTGTTTTTATTTAAAAGAAGCTTCGCTTTCCAAACTTTTTGAGTTGCAACAGGAAATAGAAGATCAGATTAAAAAAGAGAGCAAGAATGAGTGAAGCCAGTAATGTCACAACTAGTACAAATGGAGCCACCAGTGGAAGGGATTTGGGCAGCCTTCTAGGCCAGTGGCACCACCCGACAGAGGAGGTAGGATGGAGCAGATTGTGGGTGACATTTTCGGTAAGGCATCCTCTTCCAACCCTTCAGCTGCTGCTAAATAGAATTCTACATATTTGCCTCGATTGTTGTCTATATATGTACATATGTATGTTTCTTCTTTGATTAGTTGGGTAGATATGTGCGCTTCTCTTTTCTTGAAGTAACTGTTGTGAAGTTCAGCTTAGCTTAATAAAGTAACTTGAGTGAAGAAAAAAGAGCTAGGGTACAAGAAATATGGGCCGGTTTAATTCTTCTAATATGGCAACATCTCTTTCATGTTGTTTATCAACCATACGTGACTTAAATATGTATTGTATTGCGATTGGGATTACCATTTAGGTTATTGGCCCATGGTTAAATCCCATGCTTTAATCTTCTCTGTATCCTTTGGATTTTGTAGAATGTCCTCTAAGGGATTAATCCCATGCTTTAGTGAAGATGACTAGCTAGCTTCCATGGAACAAATGATTTTTAGACTCTGCTACGTCTCTTTAATGTAATTTCCAATAGCTATGCAATTCTTTTTTTTTTTTTTTTGTTCGGTAGTAAAAGTATCCTCAAGCCATATTTTGTGTACCTCAAGACTAATTTCTCATTGGATGTGACTAAGAGTTAGTCCTTAACATCCAACTTCGGGTATTCAAGTATAAATTTTGAAGAGTGTTGTCCACAAGAATTGAATCCTAGACCTAACGTATAAGTCAACACTTGCTTACCTGTTTACCAAAGAATTACCACTATGCAAATTTTAAATAAATTAATTTAGTACCACCGTAGGGCTCCCAAGTATATTGTTTAGTGCTTGATAATCAAAGTAGGTTAAGGAATTAGCTTATGATTTCCAAAACCACAAAGGCTAATTGATTTTTTTAGGAAGTACATGGACTCAGAGTTACTTTTGCATGACTTATAAAAAATTATTTATGATTTAAAGTCATAATTCAAAGTTGCTTTTTTTTATAAATAATTTACCTCAAATTTGAGTTATATATATATATTTATAACTCAAAGTAACTCTATTGAAGAAAGGAGGTAATACAATTGAGAATCGATAGCCAAAAGTTAAAATTTTTAACTTTGATTAGAATAAAAAATTTTGAATTAATTTTGTAACAACATTTTATGTAAATAAAAAAATATTTCCAAATATATATATTTATAACTTTTTTTCCTTAAATAAATAAATAAAAATTAATTTGTAAAAATTTTACCAAACCAAACCTAAATTACTTTATTTGTTTTTTCTTTTCAAGCCAAAAGGGGTTTCATAATATTAAGACATTTGGTAGTAAAACATTTTAAACTTTTATTTAGGGTTTTCAAACTCTAGAAAAAAATTCAGAGATTGAAGCAGAGCCACAAGCTGCACATTGGATCTCGTAGTAACTAATAGAATTGGGTTCAATGATTAGGGCAAGCCCATCATTGGAGGAGTAAACATAACACAAATTAGAATCCCAGTTTTAAAAGGCACTTAGAAGACCTGATTTTAGATAAGTTCAGCCCAGCCCACTTAAATAAGCCCAAAGGTTTTGCCACCTGATGGAAAACAATCGATCTAATGATTCAGAGCCCGAATGCAAAGCCATATTCTTTTAAGACAACCTCGATTTTTTCCCGGATTCAGGGAAAAAAAAAAAAATTAGAAACCTTGAAGAAACTGGTGGATTTGCATTAACTTGATTTTATAAATAAAAAATTTTTTAAACTAGAAAAAAGAGATATAACTATTTTAACTAGTTGATATTGTTGAGTTTTTTTTTTTTAACAAAAATAATTAAAATTATGGACGATATATAAATTTAACACAGAAGTTTATAAAGTAAATAATTACACACAAAACACTTGAATACCATGAAAAGTTTGTATTTGATGAAATGTTCTCATTACATGCAAAATCCTAAAATATATGGACTTTTTTGAGAAAAATATATGTGTATTTTACATCAAGATAATATGTGGGACATATAACATTAAGTAAAGTACGATGCAATAAAATCAATATTAGGACATAAAATAAGAGAAATTTTATAATACACAGGAATAACTAGTGGCATGTACGGTAGTTACTCCTTAAGCTCACTTTGAAGAGAGAGATAGACACACAAAAAGAGAGAGAAAAATTGGAAAGAGAAAATAAAAAATTTGAGCAGACGTGTAAATCTTCTTATCACTTTTGATGGGCATAGATGTAATTTCTCTTTTTTTTATGTGTCTATCTCTCTCCTCAAAGTAGATATAAAAAGTAACTACTGTACATGCCACTAGCTACTCCTCGTGTATTATAAAATTTTTCTATAAAATAATCTTTAATTGTAACCTATTGACATTAGGATTATAAAATTGATGTACATCGCTTGAAATCATTAATACCAGGAAACGTGAATATCCACACACATTTTATCTTATAAAAATAAATTACTGTGAAAAAAAACAAGAAGAATTAGTGTGGATTAATATTGAATTGTTTTTGTTTTTCTTTTTCGGTGATGGTAGTGTATTGAATTATCAATACCTGACTAACCCAAAGATTTGTTCTTGTACCAATCCCCATCTACAAGCTAGAGATCTAATTGTCAAATTGCACCGGCAACTCTCAGAATGGCGTCTTTGAGATGGGCCATGATTGCCGCCCAAGCCGCAAAGGGAGGTGAAAATTGTAAAGCGCAAGTCCCACTTTTCATTGTAAACTTGAAATTAAGTCTCAATGGCTGCACTACGAAAGCGTTTGAGGCATATATTATAAAGCAACCACCATCATTGTCTACATATAACCGTTATCCAACGGACTCAATCCCTGGCAACCAAATTCAAAAACTTGTAAAGCAAAAGGAACAAAAGCAAAAGCCACTCATCACCTTTCCCTCACTTTTTAAGATTCAACTTCCCAGACTATATAAAAATGTCCTGCAATGTTCTTTAAGCCTATAGCCTATCTATTTCAAATCTAACAAAATGGGTTGTTGCATTAGCAAATGCAGTCCCAAGAAACGTTCCATTGAAGAATGTCATGATCACCATGTCGTCGAAGACAAGCTTGTGATCTCACAAGCTCCCAAAACTCCTAAAATTCCCACTCCTGTATCAAACAAAATCTCCCCATCCCCCCTTCACCTACCACATCCACATCTTCTTCCGTTTCTTCTTCCACTTGCACCAATAGCAACACTACAACAATTAGTTCATACTCATCACTCTCCAGTGGATCTACGGTCTTGAGCTCGAAGGATCGATCATTCTCCAACGAGTTCTTGTGGTCATGTGTCAAGGAAAATCCGCACATAACCCGCATCAATTCAATCAAGGAACGATCACAGTTGCTAATGTCACCAAATGTGTATGCCAAAAAATTGGATTTACCAGCAAAACAAGTTGTGGCACCAATGAAGCAGTCAATCCCGCATAAGGTAAACACATCTACACCCCATAAAAGAGTTCGATCAAACTCACCAACTACACTAACACGACAAAAGAGCTTCCGTAGAGAGCCAGATAGATTTAATCCTTCACATTCTCTACCAATCAGTAGAACTTTGAGGTCACCATCTCATAGCAGGCGATTTAATGGAGATAGTGGCAGGGAAATTTTTACAATCACGCCTAAGGAAAGTCATTCCAAACGTATGGTTGGTAATAAGGTTAATTCAGCTAATTCCGTTTCTTCATCTTTGAGAAGGGAAAATTTGAGGCTGGCTAGTCCATACATCAATTCGAGTCAGCTTCGGTCTTGTCTGAGGAATAGAGAGACTTGCATTCATCGTATTAGTTCTAAAATAGATGAAGTTGCAGTTGAAGAAGCACTAGCTAACCAAGACACTGACTCTCTTCCAATGGAAGATGTCGACAATCCTCTCATTTCGTTGGATTGTTTTATATTTCTGTAAAATTGTGTGCGCACCCCTCCTTAAAAATGTTGTGCTGTTCATAGGAGTCTTTCTTTTTTCCTTTTCTCTTCAAAATTATTAATTGGTTTCTTTTTTTCTTTCCTTTTTAATCAATGTTCATTAATTGGTTTCAAAATGTTCAACTAGATCAAAATTTCTGTATTGATTGTAAAAAAAAAAGAAAAAAGGATCTGTATTGAAATACATATATGCTGATTGGTTCGGTTTGTTGGCTCATATAGTGGATGTTTGATGGGTTTTTTTTTTTTAATAATGAATTGGTTGAAATTCATTTTAAGTTCACGAGTTACATGAATTTTATCAAATTAAAAGCCTATATAATTAATTCAGTGTTGTTTTTTCTTGCTGGATTGGATATTCATTTTTTGAACTGTTAATTGGAGAAATAAGCCCTTGCACCAGTTTTGAATTTAAATTCAAAAGGCTTCGAATTGTCAAAATAAATAAAAGGCTTCGTGGGCCGATTACGTTAGGTCATGGTCATCATGCCATGAAATAATGTTGGGCCGAGCCCAGGACATCCAGATCCAGACAAAATGTATTTATTTGGGTCCAATGGATGAATACGATTTTGTCTTGGAAGTCAATGTTTTCCATGGGAGAATGACAAATTAAGGAAAAAAGGGAATCAGAACATTACTTAATATTTTTGTCCTTGCATTTGCTGTGTAATTTTGTGAGTACGTGGCTTTCACACGAATTTCATAATATTATTGTCCCTGACATTAATGGTCCACCTTAAATAAAAGTACCCAATAAAATGATCAATTGTTCACAATTGAAACTTCCCATTGCCCAGTCCTTTGAAGGGCAAAGCAAGAGGCATAGCATGTGTGCATTAGGCAATTGATACGACTGGTCCGATAGTACTGATATTTTTCCTGGCCACACCTAATAGTTTATGTGGCAATAAAATGCAGGGCATGGATCTGTACTAGTCAGACAAGTAGGGCAAGAATGTATGAAGGAAAATCCTTCACATAACGATAAAGCCTTTTACTTCACGTGATGTGTTATTCCGTATTTTGGACAAAGTGATACCAATAGGTTTTGGGTATTCATGTCCACTTCATTCTTCTCTGGGCTTTTGTGTTTTCCTCTCCTTATTGGGGATTTCCAAGGAGGGGCCTCGTTTGACACTGACGCGGAAGTGATGTATCAACTCTACTATTATTCAACCTTTGATAAGCGCTAGGCTATGCAAAATACTGATTTTTTGTCCTTGCTGCTCATGCTTTACATCTTTTTCTGTATGTAAGTTTTGTTTAATTAATAAAGGTTGGGTAAATAGGTAACAGGGAATCTGCCACTTGACACCGCATTGGAATATGCAACGGAAACTTTATATAAACTCTAGTACAAAAATGCAATCTAAAAATCTAGACTCTTGGGTTATAAATTCATATTTATAAGGACTTCAAATGTTTTATTCTTAATCGCTATATAATTTGCCATTTATATTTAAGACTCAACAATAACTTATTTTTTATTAAAAAATAAAAAATTACTTTTGTGTTATAAAAGAAATAGTAACAACAATAGAATTGAGAGAAAAATGATGGAGCAATTATTTAATCATGAAATAAAAAGAATACAAGAGATAACAACTCCAAACAATTCTCTTAATCTCTACAAAATGCTTGTACACAAACTAATAAACAACCAAACTCATTTATAGGCTTTAAGATTAGGAAGAGAAATGAAAGGGATTATGAATCATTAAAAATACATAAATTATTGAATAAATTACATCATCCTTTCAATTTCTCATATTAAATGGTGAATTAAGAATTACAAATAGCGAGGATGTGAAAAACATATGAACATTCATATGGACATTCATTATTTCATAACATTCTCTCTTGAATATGGATATTCATTATTTCATAACACTCTTCCTTGAATCTTCATTGTAAAAGGAACGTGTCTCGTTAAAACCTTATTAAGAAAAAAACTCAATGGAAAAAAATCTTACTAAAGGAAAGAGAGTACAATATTGCTTATACATATTAATTTCTATGTTGGGCTCTTTTTATCGAAAACATCATTTGAAATCTTTAAAATGATGCATCTCGATCTTGTGAACCATTTTCTCAAAAATCATGCCTCGTTAAAACCTTATTAGGAAAAAAACCCAATGGAAAAAAAGTACAATGTTGCTTATACACATTAATCTTTATGTTAGGCTCCTCTTGTTGAAAACATCATTTAAAATCTTTAAAATAATGCATCTCAATCTTGTGAATCGTTTTCTCAAAAATTATGACAAATAATGCCTTGACGAATAAATCGTCGAATTATCACTTTATGTATTCTTCCTTTAATTTAATTATGTAAGTAGCATTATCTTCATATAATAATATTAAAACTTCTTTACTCGGTAGATAAACTACATGTCTCTCGAATATGATGGATAATTGAACGTAGTCAAACACATTCTTGACTTGCCTTATGAATTGGTATTTCATCATGGTTTGAATATCTAGCAGTTATAGTTTGCTTCATAGAACGTTATGATATAACCGTATCACCACGTGTAAATATATAACTCACTTGTGATCGAGTTTTTTATGGATGAGATAAATAACCTACATGTGCATAACCAATTAAACTCGACTTTAATTTATTTGAGTAAAATAAATATGATATCAATTTTTTCTTAGAGATAACGTAGAAAATATTTAATTCTATTTCAATGTCTTCGTATTGGAGTAGAACTATATCTTACTAATAAATTCATAGAAAAAAGTTATATTATGTTGAGTATTATTAGCAAGATATATCAATGTATTAGTGGCATTAACATATGGTACTTTAGGACTAAGTAATTCTTCGTTATCTTCTCGAGGTAGAAAAGAGTTTTTTTGGATATTAAGAGAATGAATTACCATTAAACCAGTCAATAGATGATCTTTATATAGAATTATTGTAGAATTTTTCTATATAAGTTGAGTAATGAATAAAAATCTCATCCTCTAAGTGTTCAAATTGCGAGTCGAGATAAAATTTTATTTTCCCAAGGTATTTCATGTCAAATTCTCTTTTTAGATAACTTATGACACTTGAAATCTTTTTGAGAGTTTCAATAATATTTAAATCATCAATATATATAGCAATTATCACGAACCTCTTTTCAAATATCTTTATAAAAAAATATGAATAAACATGGTTATTTTTATAATATTCTTTCAAAAAAATTCATTAAAGTGATTATATTACATGCACACAGATTAGTTATAAAAGCAAACATTGAAAAATAAAAAATAAATATAAAAAGTATAGCATAAATTAAATTTCTAAAAACTAAAATAATCCTTATAGATATCTCTATAATTTAATTGAATATATTTTTCAAAAATATGTATTACATGCTTCAAACATTTCATATAAATATCATTTTCAACTCGAACAAATAAGTTGTGGTCACATATATTAAATGTATACATATGAAGTTTTTTTATATATTTTATCGAGGTTAATAAGATAACGAAATATAATAACATCCATTATAAAAGAATATCTCTCTTCACGAGTCGATGTCGGGTTTTTATGAAAACTCTTGTGTTACGAGTCTTACTTTGTATCTCATAATCTTATATTTCTTTTTTTTTTCTTTTTTTTGAATAAATACCTATTTATAGCTCATTGGCTTAACGTCTTTAAGTATTTTGACTATGGATTCAAAAACTACTTGTTTATAAGAGAATATAATTCTTCATTTATTGCTCTTTTCATTTAAGTCTATCATCTCTATGTAGATATTCTTCGATAAATTTAGCCTCGGGATTCTTATTTTTATTCAAAATATCAATTACAATATGAGATGCAAAAGTATTATTAATAAAATATTTTTTTCAATCCTATTTTCTTCATGTATTGACATAATTTATGAAAGTCTATTTTCATTTGGACTTTTCTTGGAAGCCTATTATTAAAAATATCTTAGATCATTTTACAAATATTTTCATTCTTTATATTTTTATCTTGATTATTTACCTTTTTCTTTCGGAGATTTTCATTTTTAAAACCGATCGATTTTTCGTGCTTTAGGCATGCTTTGGATTTATTCACTATAACATTAATAGATTGTCATTTTTGGATGTTTTATGTTAATAGGAGCATTCTCGACGGGGATATGCATTTTAGTTATTCTTTTATGATTCAAGAATGCATTTAGCGGTTAGCTTGTATTACCTTATAAATGAATTATCTTCTAAACTTTTAGTTCACATCATTTTGTATAAGTATTAACATGATATAAAGATCTCTTCTTCATGTAATCTTTTTTTCAACTATTTATTTTGCTTATTCTTTCTCTCTTAATGTTGAAAAAACTATTTTATCAAAATAACAATCGATAAATTGAACTATAAAAATATCCTTTGTTCATGGTTCAAGATATTTAATTATTGAAGAGGATTCAAATTTAACATATATTCCTAGTCTCCTTTAAAGGCCCATTTAAGTTCATTGTGTAGGAGTAATAGGAATACATACTATTTAGCTAAAAATTCTTAGATGAGAAATATTTGGCATATGACAATTAACCAATTGAAGGGGAGAATTTTTGATAATTTATAGGTCCGATATGAATAAATATTGCTCCATGTAAGATTGCATATCCCCAATCATAAATATAGATTTTTTTATATATATAAATAATAGTTTAGCTATCAATTGAAACCTTTTGATAAATCATTCGCTAAACATTTCTAAGTATGAACATGAGCGACAGAGTTGTTCAATCTTATTTACCTTAAGAACATACGTAATGTGAAAATTAAAGAATCTTCTAGCTCTTCGATAGATGCCCATATGAATTTATAATAATTTTTTATATCGTAAAAGACCTAAGATAACACAATCAATCATGTCATATAATAAAAGTATTTGAATTAGTAAACTTCTAACTAACTATAGTATTTGTTTCGATCATTCTAAATTTATAATA